TAAAGAGATTTAGATTGGAAAAATAGACATGTTTTCCACTGTCTTTTCTCTTTGGCCCCCCAATCTTCTTGGTCTAGCACCGCCACTGTTCACTAGACTGTAAAATTCTCCATATATCCAAAAGAGGGGAGTTGTAGGTTGTGCAAGTAGATGCGGAAAGGGACATGGGTGGCACTATGCAGTGCATGTTGGGTCGGCCTCGCACCAACTACCTTCTTGGATGACATTGGACGAAAATGCAATTAATTCCCGGGCCATTCGCTGTGAGCCCAGAAGACCGATAGGGCGATGGGATAGGTAAGTTATGGCATGTACGTAAATATCCTTACTTAAATAAAGTAGTTTATTAAACAGGATAATTTTGTCCATGGGTGCAAATAAATTGGTTAGCTTCCGTTGGATTTGTCTGCCGGTTTTGCAACTACAATGCCCATGCTCGCGGTTAGTGTACGTACTAGATTAATTAATCTTCTAGTTTTGGGTATTGATGGACGTCGTTCACCACTTAAGCATGATGAGGCCGGTTTTGAGGCAGGTAGCATGCACCATTCTGCATGAACATATAAGTGAACATCACAGTGGTGTACCAGCATATCATCTGAGGACCATAATTTAGTGCTGAAATAATTGAACATATATTTATCATGAGCCAAGCTAGCTGAAATTCAGATGGAGGGAGGCAAAAGCAGGATGCTATTCTTGGGAGACTTCATACCGGTCGTAATGGTAGTATCATAAACGGTATCATGCATGTCAACTAGACTTTTTGAATGATGTGACACACAATTAAATGAGGAAAGAGAGGATGTGGTATCATATCATGATACCGTATCATATTAAATGCTGTACTACTTTGTGTCATGCATGACAATTAATAAGGCAGCCTAATATACTAACTTATACTCCCTCCGTTCCTAAATACTTGTCTTTCTAGGCATTTCAACAAGTGACTACATACGGAGCAAAATGAGTGAATCTACACTCTAAAATATGTCTACATACATCCGTATATAGTAGTCATTTGAAATGTCTAGAAAGACAAATATTTAGGAACAGAGGGAGTAATACTATGCATTATAGTATAGAATACTCCCCATTACAACAAGCATGCATGCATGCATCCATGGACTAGTATCTAGCGCTGGGCATATTCGAGGACAGCAATGATGGTCTGAATGATGGTGCCCAGCACGGCCATGGCGCCGAAGAGCCACGCGACGGCGAGCCAGGGGTTGGCAAGGCGGTGCCTGAGGACCCAGGCGCCCCACCGGTTGAGCCGGGACCGGCAGTGCTCCCCCAGCTTCACCCCGACGGCGTTGAGATAGTGCTCGCTGGACGGGTCGAAGACGAGCCCCTCCGCCAGGCGACGGAACAGGTCGCACACCTCGGCGTCGTTGCCCAGGTGGTGCTCGATGACCCCGCGCCGCGACAGCAGGGCCACGTCCTCGGGGCTGCCCAGGAGCTGCGACATGAACACCACGTACGCCGTCACGTAGCCGCTCGTCGCCGTCCGGATGTAGCTCTGCTCGTACGCGAGGACGTTGCGGAGGATGTAGTTGGTATTCTCGTCGAACCTGTGGCGAGCCATCCTCAGCACCCCGTTCAGAAAGCTCACGTCCAGCAAGGGGGCTTGTTCATTGTGAAGCCGCCTGAACTTGACGCCGGCTTCGTAATACTCGGTGGCACGTCGGAATCTTCCTCCATAGTCGCCGCATGGGCCTCTGCAGCATGCAGCAGGTTACCGGAGTTTATGCAGATTTCAACAAGTGACTACATACGAAGCAAAATGAGTGAATCTATACTCTAAAATATGTCTATATACATCTGTATGTGGTAGTCCATTTAAAATCTTTAAAAAGATAAATATTTAGGAACCGAGGGAGTAGTACTCTACTCACAGCGACTCCTGGAGGTTGCTTGGCTTGAGGTAAATATGGCAGAGATGCACCAAATGCTGGAACTCTGGCGGTGGAGGATTTGAGGCCGGCCAGAGGCCACCCATGATATTGCTGATGGTTCCCCACGCTAGCTTCACAATGGGGCCACTTCCGGCATCGGCATGAAGCAAGGCGTACATCTTCCGGACGACGAAGAACGGTATCTGGTTCTCCAGCATCATCAAGTCATGTTGGAGACTGGTCACATGACCTGTCTTGGGTGTTGGGCCGCCAGCAGCGTCGCCTCCGCCTGTTTTTTCCGTTGGCTCATCGCCATTGGAGACGCCGAGAAAGCCGAGCAATGTGATGAGCTGGAAGCCGTCGAACAAAAGCATCATGCAGAAGGCGTCCCATCCCATGGCGACGTCGCCGTCGTAGCAGCTCCTGGCCTCCGACTCCATGGACGCGATGGCCTCGATGAATTCCGCCACCGGCCGCCCACCGCCGGCCATTTCCATGGCCAAGGCCATGTTCGGTGGCTTGCCCGCTTGGCTGCGCCTCATGTCTTCCGTGGCAGAGTCGGAGTCGCCGCGGTGGTATGGTCCGAGGGGCATGAACGTCGGCTGGTACGCGCCCTTGTCGGCGGCGAGGAGTAGCTCCGGAACACGGTAGATCGTCTGTGGTGCCGGTGGGAGAGGTAGGGCGGCAGCACGCATTTCGGTGACAATGATTTCCGAGAGTCGGAGGATGCGGGCGTCGTCGCTGCCGTCCCTTGGTCCTGCTTATTACGTTTGGATATCAGTATATGCCGTTCCAGCAATTAAGAAAAAAAATTCAAGCTCTCGATCGGCTCACCGTTATTGGAGAAAGATGAAGTGGCGTCCACGGAGGGTGGTACTAACTGTGCGAGCTCAGTTCCCTTCTCCGGCATCGGACTCGGTCGATGAAGAACCCAAAGATTGAAACCCCTCCAAAATTTACCTCTCACCGCAGGTGTTGATGTTGGGGAGCAACAGCCGCGGCTTCCACCTAGATTCCGCTGCCCGTTCCCCCCCTTTTGCCGCGGTGCTACACATCCATGAAAAGAAGATTACGGTGGCCATGTAACCATGCTACCCTGGTGCGGCAATAAATAATCAAATCAGATCTCGCTTGAAACTATATATACGTGTGTGTTTTAATCTCCGTGCTCCTCAGCATGTTATGCCTGTAACCATCGTGCTTATCGGTCCTATGTTAAACCATTTGCCCCCCTTCTTGTAATTTATGCCGTTCTATCACCTCCCTTCATGTAATGTCATGTATGTTATCCACTTGAATAAATCGCGCCAGAGCATCATAGATTCTGTGATACCTCAAGAATGAAAGTTTTATTTTATACTACAGAACAATGACATTCTGAACGGGAGAAAATGTTAGTAGTAAGCGATGCACCCACCCTCGTCAAGCTGGACTCAAAATGCTACGTTCCACCACAAGTTCGAGCAAATAGCAGCTGCAAGACTGGCTACGTATCTTCAAAATGACAACCCCGCAACAACAAATAATCATAGATTGCAGCTCTGAAAGACTCATCATAGACCTTGCCATGTCCAACGAGTTTTGATTACGCCGCTCGGACACACCATGTTATTTGGCGTGTCTCACAGGATGTAAGCTATGGAACAATTCTACAATTCTTCATATGACCTCCAAACTCATTCATCAAATATACACACCCACGATTGGATCACAAAATTTTTATTTCTTCTCAAGAAAACATTCCTAGCCAGTTCTCGTCCTTGGAAATACGTATTAGAGGCAATAAACAAGTTGTATTACTCTATTTCCTTCATTTTAATGACTACGTTTCTATGCTATGTTATAATTTTAATATGTTCTGAATGAGATGTTTTAGAGGAAAACCAAATAACATGTGTGGAATAATAAAAACTAAACCTAGGTCCCTAGTCAGTTATCTCGGTTGGTTTATTAATTATAGATGATCTTGTTTTCATGATTTAGAGGGTTTGATCGATCGAGCAGCTGAACCCCGTAGATGTAACTGGACTCACAGGAACTATAGTGGTTCTCAGACGATATATTGTTATTATACAATGGTGATATTGTGATCTACACCGAAGTAATGCAACGTATGTTATCCAATTGAATAAATCATGCCACGGCGTCACCATAGATTTTGTGATACATGAAGAAAAAAAGTTTTCCATTATAGTATAGAACAATGATATTCTGAATGGGAGAAGATATTGGTTTAAGTGATACACCCACCCTCGTGAAGTTGAACTCAAAATGCTAAGTTCCTCCACAAGTTCGAGAAGGTAGCAGCTGCAAGACTGGCTTGATATCTTCAAAATAACAACCCCAAAAAGAGAATGACAGTTCTGAAAGACTCGTCACAGACCTCACCCTGTCCAGTAAGATTTTTATGCCACTCGAACACACCATGTTATTTGGGGCGCCTCACACGATGTAAGCTACAGAACAATTCCGCAATCTTCAGATGACCTCCAAACTCATTCGTCAGATATTCACACCCACGGTCGGATCAAAATTTAATTTTCTTGTCACGAAAACATCCCTAGCCAGTTCTCGTTGATGAAATATGAGTTAGAAGCAATAAATAAATTGTATTATTCTATTTCCTGTATGTTAATGATTACATTTTTATGCCATGTTATAATTTTAAGATGTTCTGAATGGGATGTTTCGGAGGAAGACCAAATAACTTTTTCACCAGAGTCCATTCAAACACACGTGCTAGGTCCACGCCTTTTCCGGAGGACGCCATGTTGGGGAACGTAGTAATTTCAAAAAAATTCCTACGCACACACAAGATCATGATGATGCATAGCAACGAGAGGGGGGAGTGTTGTCCACGTACCCTCGTAGACCGCAAACGGAAGCGTTATCACAACGCGGTTGATGTAGTCGTACGTCTTCACGACTCGACCGATCCAAGTACCGAACATACGGCACCTCCGTGTTCAGCACACGTTCAGCTCGATGACGTTCCCGGGCTCCAATCCAGCAAAGCGTCGGGGATGAGTTCCGTCAGCACGACGGCGTGGTGACGATGATGATGTTCTACCGGCGCAGGGCTTCGCCTAAACTCCGCGATGATATGACCGAGGTGGAATATGGTGGAGGGGGGCACCGCACACGGCTAAGGAACGATCCGTAGATCAACTTGTGTGTCTATGGGGTGCCCCCTGCCCCCGTATATAAAGGAGGGAGGGAGGAGGTGCAGCCGGCCAGGAGGGGCGCGCCAGGAGGAGTCCTCCTCCCACCGGGAGTAGGACTCCCCCCCTTCCTTGTTGGAGTAGGAGAGAAGGAAAGAGGGGGAGAGGAGGAAGGAAAAGGGGGCTGCACCCCTTGTCCAATTCGGACCAGAGGGGGGCTGCGCACCTCCTTCCTTTCGGCCTCTCTCCTCTATTCCCGTATGGCCCAATAAGGCCCATATACTCCCCGGCGAATTCCCGTAACTCTCCGGTACTCCGAAAAATACCCGAATCACTCGGAACCTTTCCGAACTCCGAATATAGTCGTCTAATATATCGATCTTTACATCTCGACCATTTCGAGACTCCTCGTCATGTCCCCGATCTCATCCGGGACTCCGAACTCCTTCGATACATCAAAACTCATAAACTCATAATATAACTGTCATCGAAACCTTAAGCGTGCGGACCCTACGGGTTCGAGAACTATGTAGACATGACCTAGAACTGTTTCCAGTCAATAACCAATAGTGGAACCTGGATATTCATATTGGCTCCTACATATTCTACGAAGATCTTTATCGGTCAAACCGCATAACAACATACGTTGTTCCCTTTGTCATCGGTATGTTACTTGCCCGAGATTCGATCGTCGGTATCCAATACCTAGTTCAATCTCGTTACCGGCAAGTCTCTTTACTCGTTTCGTAATACATCATCCCACAACTAACTCATTAGTTGCGATGCTTACAAGGCTTTAAGTGATGTGTATTACCGAGAGGGCCCAGAGATACCTCTCCGACAATCGGAGTGACAAAACCTAATCTCGAAATACGCCAACCCAACATGTACCTTCGGAGACACCTGTAGAGCACCTTTATAATCACCCAGTTACGTTGTGACGTTTGGTAGCACACAAAGTGTTCCTCTGGTAAACGGGAGTTGCATAATCTCATAGTCATAGGAACATTTATAAGTCATGAAGAAAGCAGTAGCAACATACTAAACGATCGTGTGCTAAGCTAACGGAATGGGTCAAGTCAATCACATCATTCTCCTAATGATGTGATCCCGTTAATCAAATGACAACTCTTTTGTCCACGGCTAGGAAACTTAACCATCTTTGATTCACGAGCTAGTCAAGTAGAGGCATGCTAGTGACACTATGTTTGTCTATGTATTCACACATGTATTATGTTTCCGGTTAATACAATTCTAGCATGAATAATAAACATTTATCATGAAATAAGGAAATAAATAATAACTTTATTATTGCCTCTAGGGCATATTTCCTTCAGTCTCCCACTTGCACTAGAGTCAATAATCTAGTTCACATCACCATGTGATTTAACACCAATATTCACATCTGTATGTGATTAATACCCATAGTTCACATCGTCATGTGATCAACGCCCAAAGGGTTTACTAGAGTCAATAATCTAGTTCACATGGCTATGTGATTAACACCCAAAGAGTACTAAGGTATGATCATGTTTTGCTCATGAGAGAAGTTTAGTCAACAGGTCTGTCACATTCAGAGCCGTATGTATTTTGCAAATATTCTATGTCCACAATGCTCTGCACGGAGCTACTCTAGCTAATTGCTCCCACTTTCAATATGTATCCAGATTGAGACTTAGAGTCATCTGGATTGGTGTAAAAGCTTGCATCGTTGTAACTTTTTACGACTGACTCTTTTATCACCTCCATAATCGAGAAACATCTCCTTAGTCCTCACTAAGGATATTCTTGACCGCTGTTCTAGTGATCTACTTTTAGATCAAAATTGTATTCCTTTGCCAAACTCAGAGCAAGGTATACAATAGGTCTAGTACACAACATAGCATACTTTATAGAACCTATGACTGAGGCATAGGGAATGACTGTTCATTCTTTTCTATTTTCTGCCATGGTCGGGTTTTGAGTCTTACTCAACTTCACACCTTGCAACACGGGCAAGAACTCTTTCTTTGACTGTTCCATTTTGAACTACTTCAAAATCTTGTCAAGGTATGTACTCATTGAAAAATCTTATCAAGCGTCTTGATCTATCTCTATAGATCTTGATGCTCAATGTGTAAGCAACTGCACTAAGGTCTTTCTTTGAAAAACTCCTTTCAAACACTCCTTTATGCTTTCCAGAAAAATTCTACATTATTTCTGATCAACAATATGCCATTCACATATACTTATCAGAAATGTTGTAGTGCTCCCACTCACTTTCTTGTGAATACAGGCTTCACCGCAAGTCTGTATTAAAACTATATGCTTTGATCAACTTATCAAAGCGTATATTCCAACTCCGAGATGCTTGCACCAGTCCATTGATGGATCGCTGGAGCTTGCACATTTTGTTAGCACCTTTCGGATCGACAAAACCTTCTGGTTGCATCATATACAACTCTTCTTTTAAGAAAACCATTAAGGAATCCAGTTTTGACATCCATTTGCCAGATTTCATAAAATGTGGCAATTGCTAACTTGATTCGGACAGACTTCAAGCCTCGCTACAGTTGAGAAAATCTCATTATAGTCAACACCTTGAACTTGTCAAAAACCTTTTGCGACAAGTCGAGCTTTGTTGATAGTAACACTACTATCAACGTCCGTCTTCCTCTTGAAGATCCATTTATACAATATGGCTTGCCGATCATCGGGCAACTCCACCAAAGTCCACACTTTGTTCTCATACATGGATCCCATCTCAGAT